ACCTCTTGACACTCACTCATGTCACCTCACAGCCTTCAAGAGATGCCTTGCTTGAGGAGCCAAAGACATGCTGCATGTGCTGTGCCCTGGAAGGTTGGTTGGCTCTATATAAGACATTATGCCATTTTGATGGCCCTAACAAATTCCCTCCAGTTTGCAATGGTATGATAGAGAGAAATGGCTGTATCGCAAAAGCTGCAGCCTCAGTTGTCAGAAGCTAGGAGCAAAGGAAAGGCCATCCTACCCCTCTCACCTCTGCTCATCCCCCCTTTTTTGCTTCCACATAAGCAAACAAGTTCTTGCTACAGCCTAAATATGTCATTAAAGCATAGAAATTGAGGAGCAAGGAAAGGCACAGAGATGTTGCTACATGGTTCTCAGTGTGGGAGATCATACAGGGGCTGTAAGACTGTTTTAGGTCCTTCCAAGCTGTCGTTTTGAGGCATAAATGAAAGCAAAACAACAGTGTAGGAGCCAGCCGAGCCAGTGGAGGCTCAAGGACTTCGTACTTTGAGTCTTGGTTTCATATCAAGCCAACACAACTTCCCAGCCTAACTCCTCCAGCTGTGTACCTGCCTTCCAGCCATCCATTTTCTCTCAGATCCAACCTACTTCCCTGCATGTCACACTGCTCAGAGCTGTGCTCAGACTCTTTCCGAATCATTTTGGTTGGATCTTTCCCTGTCTCTCATTCCTGCTATATTTTGTCTGTATTTGATTGACACATTTCCCATCACCAAAAAACAAACAACTGCCCCCTTTAACTCTGTTTGCCTCCTTCTCTCAGTTCATTTTCTGAATATTTCCTGCTATTTTCCTCTCTCTCTTCCTTTCTGTCTGTCCTCTGCTCCACTTATGCATCCCAGCAGTCTAGATTTCCTTTCCTCAGGTTATAATAGTTAGACTGTGAAATCACCCAGGCCCCACACCCTCCCTACATCCCTGTGTCCTTCTTTCCCCTTCCACTCCCTAACATCGTTCTCCCTCCTCTGATTCCATCCCTCCTCTTACTACTTACAGCCAATCTTTAATATTTATGGCCTCAAAGCTTGAGAAGTGGGTGGGGGCACAGGGCTTTACCTCGGTTATGATTACTTGCGTGCTGTCAGGAACCAGGAACCAGGGAAGGTGAGGGTTACACTGTAAGGCTGAGGCTGTGAAGCTGCAGCCCTGCAGAGCAAAGCAGAGGCTACCCAGTCTCCCTGAGCCCCCATACTGAAGTGATTAGGCCACAGGAAGCTGAACCTGACATTGCTGACACTAGGCCCCCCTCCCACATCCTGCCTCAACATCCCCCCACACCACAAGACACCATCTCCCTACTCTGACACTCGATTCACCGTGGCAACTACAAGGCTGATTTACATCTTCTGATATGGTTGCAGAGGATGGAAGAGCAGAGGATGCAGCAGTACACTCAAGAGAAAAGAAACCTGAGATCGGGTGGGGGAGGGATGCTTGTGGCGACTGCTTCCTTTATTGTTTCCCTGTCTCATGGTGTGGTGGCAGATGTAAACAGGAACAAGCAATGCAGCTGCCAATTTCAAGCCCATTAACTGTAAGTGGGATAACCAGTGCAGGTGCTTTATTTTGGCCACTGGGATCACATGGATCAAGAGACTTGTGACAGTATATGTATTTTTTATGTGAAAAGAGGATTCATATGTGGCTCACATGTTCCATTATCCTACATTTAGTTCCTTATATATCTAAAGAAAATAAAAGAGGAATTAAATTATTTAAGTTGCTAGTTGCCCCCTTCCCAAATAAAGACAAAACATGCACACATTTATAAATTGCATGGCAGTTTGAATAGACAATATAGTGATTAAAGATAACCTTCATGAAAGAGCACTACTGCCCTCTTGTGTTTGGGGTGGAAAGGGCATAATTGTGAACATGGAAATTGCACTGGATTTAATCTTGACTTTGAAGAAACTTTACCTGACGAGTAGGATAACGATGCGGATTTCACTTACTCACTCACTTACAAAAATAAATCATATCACCGAAGTTTTTATTCTTTCTTTATTAGAGCTATAAATCAAACAGCAGTTGACTAAAGGTTTATGCAGTACATTGGGCTTAACCTATTTACACATAAGAGCAAAATTAGTTTGCATTCTGCATTACATATAAATAACATTACAATTACAATTGAAACTGTCTATGCCTTGATCATTTAAAGTGAATATTACACTTATTTTACTACATTCGGGTTGAATTAGGCACATTTAGGCATAGAAATATTCATGTTTCTTCCATGGGCACTCATCAAATCTAAATCTGTGTCCAACCAAAATTTCCAGAGAAGATTTGCCGCTCATTTTAGCTGTTATTTGTTCTCTCTCTCATTTCTCACACTGTCTTTCACCAATCAAAATGTGTCTTTTTTAAGTAGTGATTGCTCTCTGTTTGACTCCCATCTCCAGTGAAGTGTTTCATTTCACTAATGCAGAAGTGAAACTAACTCCATTTAAAAGGGAGTCACACTGAATACTCTGGGGGCCGTGGGAATAATCAAAACACTGCAAGAGCCAGAGAGGAATACAAACTCCGGTTAAGAACAAAGGAAATGGAAATCAATGGCGGGATATGCAGATTTCTTTTGACAGCTCGACACGCAAATAATCTTTTGGGAATTTGCCCTCTGTTGCCTTTGCTGGGTTAAAATAACAACTGAGCAGGGGAATATAAAATGCAGTATGACGAAGAAAGGGCACAGCATTACACCTACTTATTTTTGTGTGAAGGTGTTCCAAAACAATCAATAAAGAATGTACTGCACTGCAAGCAAGGCTGGATCGCCCAAGGCATGGTCATAACTATAAGTGCATGGCTACCAACCTTAGGAATTAATTTCAAGCTAAACACTGTATTATTTAAAAGCTGCAATTTATGTTTTATGCACAGTTGTATTTGTCAGTTTGTCGACACTTGAGAAGCTTTAGGAAAGTCTCCATCTTATGGGCATCTTTCTTGAAGCAACTGAGTAAGGCGTAGTCCCTCATAACAGATTCCAACATCTCTGGCTGCACATCATACTGGAAGACGCCTTGCTCACTGTAGCTTGTTGTCATCATTCCCTCATCCAACATCTGCACAGCAACCATTTGGAAACATGGCATAAATAAAACATAAGAATAAAATGTGTGTATTGTCTACCATGGGTTTTAAAGTGAAAGAAGTAAAATTCTAGTATCTAATAATTATTTTGATTGGGACAATAATTACACTGGAACTCAAAATATTTTTGCAACATGTAATTGTCCTAATTCACATCTGTGTTTAGGTGTATAACAATAATCCACAAATGTGTTTTAACCCACCTTCTTGATGAGGACCACCACCCCTTGCTCCAGACTGATCAGTTTTTCAGAGACCCACTTGGTCTTGTTGAGCAGCATGTCAGGAGCATCATCGTAGCGATCCAATGTGGTCTGAAGGTAGACCAATGGCTCGATCCATGACTGGACCAGCATCAGCACAGAGTGGAGCAACCATTTGTCCTGCAGGGTACACAGGCGGAGAGTTGAGTGTTGAGAATAAGTGAATTTAAACACAAAAACCCCAAAACATAACAACTGAACCTCGAACAAAAGCTGAACCTTGAATATAAATACAATACAAAAAAACACACAACAAAACATTAGAAAGATAAAGTAGAACTGACATCACTTTATTCAAGTCTTTGTGGGGAGAATTTCTATAAGATAGTAATAAAAAACAGAAGTGATCAAAAAAAACATAAGAACATAATAACAGCATGGCTTTTGATCAAAGGCTCTTCAGCTACAAAACATTCAGCAACAAAAGTAGGTTGAAACGTCACTGGTGAAGCACTTGAGCCTGCTTAAATTCTCCTAAGCAGAGCACACTCTAAAGCAAGTGCAAATGTCCACCATACAAATAGCCATTAAACAGCAGAGCAGGCAATATTTCAACAGAAAGGGCAGAGGAAAATGATTAACATAAAGAATAGCCTTGCAGTATATGCAGTTTCAAAGATCACATTTACTATTATGGTGATGGCATGACTTTCAACCAGCAGTCTCAATATAGCTAAAAAGTTAGTCCTTAAAGAAATTGCTTTTGCCACATATACTTGGTCTTTGTTAGTTGAAGGAGGATTAATGAACAACTTTCCATTAACCAGATAACCGCTCACATCAGCCAAATCACCCTACATTGGCCTTTTGCCAACTGGCTTAATCTTGTCTCTACCCTAGTGATCAGGCTGACCTTTGGCCTTAAAGGTTGGGTACTAAAACATCAAAAGGCACAGATGAACATTTTTCTTCAAAATGTTACACAGAAAAGTGTATTTATGAGATCTAACAAGCATTATAAGGAGGAGAGGTTCACTTGCACACTTAGTTATTATTTAAAAAAAAAGAAAGCTTAGGTTCTTAATACCAAAGCGGCTTCAAAGTGATGTGTGAGCAGACCACCACACACACACACACACACACACACACACGCACATAAACATACACACACACCTATACATGCAAATGGACATGCACAAGAGCTACTAACTCCACTCAGATGCACAGACAGACACAACACACATATGCATTGCATATAAAAGCAGAGGTGTACACACATATTCTTAAAGCGCTAACGGTCGGTAACAATTGAACATACAATGCAAAACCTTCCGTGTCTCTTTCTGCTGCTTGTATCACTCCACTTAGCCCCTCCCACCAAACTCACAGAAGGGAGCTGGTTGACCCGCGTAACATCATCCCACGTATACCACGCCCTGCCCCTCTCGCTTCGCAACCCGGGGCGGGGTGCCCCAGGCTTCTGATGTAGTTGCGACAATGTCTAACAGTGGGATGAGATGCTAGTACACCTCTGTACCCCTTCTAAAGTCCCCCGCTGTTTATAATGCCGCTTTGCCACTCTCATCGAACGCCATGACATCGAACATAATAGCTGAAGCTACGTGTGGAGCAAAGGTAATGGTTCTCCATGAGGTTGTACTACTGCAGGTTCCTGACTTGAACGGGAGAACTTTGGTACAGGAGGCGGACGTGCTAGCAAGGAGGCTAAAACCCACGTGCACTAGTGTCAGTCCCCAGTGCGTCTCTTAAGGTGTCAGGGAGTGGGGTTTACTCATTGCACAGCCGTCTGGCTTCTGTTACACAAGGATGTGTTCGTGGTTTGCACCTAATGCTGTTTTTGGCAAAGGAGGGATGGGCAGTTCTTTCATTGCTGATGATTGTTTCTCAGCCATTGTGTTTCCAAAACTCCTGAAGCTGCATGCTGCGTGAAGACATTGATCTTGACTGAGTGAAAGTATGTGCGAGGACACGGCCTGTGCAGCATGTGCACGAGCACTGACTGACACTGTGTTAGAGATTCCTTCTGGCTCTGATTGTTTTGGGATTTGTTGACTTGGGTGTGGTGAATTCTTAAAAATGGCATCAGGAGAACTAGTAGAACCTGATTTTTGTAACAGATTATCTGTCTCATGTAGTCAAGATAGTAACAGTTACAGTTTTACCAAATTTGCGAAAAAGTTATTATTTTAAAAGTTACCTACTGAACCTTTAACAGATTAAGACCAAAGCTGAAAAAGGAAATAAATTCAGTGATCAGTGGCCATGTACTTACAGATATCTGTTGGATTTCACTTTTGGAGCTCGGGAGGGGTAAGGCTTTGGTGATGCATGTATAGCCAGCTTGGTTACTCTGGAGCTGTAATGGAAATGGGACAAACATCGCCTCCTAAAATCCAAATACAAACATGGGGAAAAAAGAAAAAAAAAAACATATGAAAACACACATACACAACAAAACCTGTGATGATGATTCTGATTTTTCAATTTTAGTTTTAGTTTACTCTCCAAATTCAAAACTGAAGGCCATGAGCAGCAGCATTCCAGTCTTTGTTTGTTTTTGGAATTATGTTGGTTTTAGGAAATACGTTAAAATGGTAACACTTTAGTCATAACCTTAAAAAATAGCTTCTTAAAGATATAGGCGAGCGACACTTTTGTGGATGTCTCGAACTGTTTTGAAAACCTTTGGTTCTCATAGGTATAGAATAACAAGACACATTGGTAGACACAGAAAAAGACACATCAGGAAAACAACGACAAAAGCTTCACCAATCTTGGCCACTGGAGACACAGCAGAGACACATTTTGTTCTCCAGCATGTTCTCATACCCCATGCAGCGTTTTCTCAGTACATCATCCAATTTCAAAGACCACTTTGGATTGCGAGCCGTAGAGGGAAAGGGATTCAACAGGCTGCAAAACCTGTGCTCTCACTGCTGCAGTATATCATTATCACATTCATATTACTCCAGTGTAGGCCTGCTTCAATAAAACATATTTGGCTCAGAAGAGAGATTACTTTGAAGCCTGGCAGTGAGGCAATGATCATGTCAGTATCAAAAGCAAATAACACAGTATCTAACGGAAAGTGTCAGTGCTTTTGGTCCAGCATATTGTGAAAAAGAATTTGTTCTCATGTAGAACTCATTTTTGCTAGATTGAGTGCTATATTCTCATATTAAAAAATAACATAGCTTGGGAAATATCGGGCTCACTGTTAAGACTGTAACTGATGAGCAATGTCTTTATGATCATTTCAGTTGAATCCTCCCTTTCTTGGCGCAATGAAAATCATTTTCTGTGCTATTGTCATGTGATGGTTTAGTTTCTTCTGAGGCTATACACATGTGAAATCTATGTCTTTACTGTACACTGTAAGTGCCTGTGGAGACAATGGGCCGTCCGAACACTTAAAATATTTCTTTCCCAATACAGTGCAAAGGTTCATTTTGGAGTAATGTTACTCACAAACAAAGAGCATGATTCTTCTGAGACACGGTAGATGAGCTCAGCATGCTGGATGACTCGGTCAAGAAGTTTCTCTTGGGAGATGGAGGGGCAGCGGGAGAGGCTACCCTGGTCTTCCCTACAGTCTTGTGGGATGCTTGCAGTGAGCAGATAGGGGCAGAGCAATCCAGCCCATACACCCAGCTGTGTGACTGTAGACAATATAGATGTAACAAATATTCACAAGTAAATACGCAAACAAAAATATCCAAAACCTGTTCATCCTATATCTTGTTTGCTGTGGTACTGCCGGATTTACTTTCTTTAGGATTATATAAATCAAAATCACTGCTCAGCTAAATAAACTGGTGTAATTTATATCTGTCAGTAAAATTACAAAACATGCTGTCTTTCTGTCTTGAAGTTTGATGCATTACCTGTCATCATGTGCATTCTGTCAAGTAGTCTTCAAGTCTTCGTAGCTTTTCTGGCATGCTGACTTCTTTTATAAAACCTGACCGGGCCATGAATAGTGGAAAAGGTCTTGCGTAGGTTCTTGTAAAAAGATACTGGTCTTGCCAAAGCAACACATTTGTTTTCTCATGCATAATACCATTATGTTTATTTTATTTAAGAAGGGACAAAGCACATTAATTAACATGAGCACTTGAGACCATCATCTGCCGTCCCTATAAATGGTAAGGTCTAAGGCCTAAACATCTTTGTTCCTTATATGAGCTTACCTTGATTTCAAAATAAACTGAAATAAAGGTTTTGTAATTTTTTATTCTACCCAGCATCCTGATAGCATTGGCCAATAATCCAAAAATAAAGACTGAGACTGATTAGATTTATCAAACAAAATCAAAAAAGGGAATGGACTGAAAAATCCCTCCTTTCAGCTGAGGTAAGTATGTAATGTAGATTTAAATATGCATGACAGAGAAGGCTGCAGAAAAGACAGCGTAGGACTGTAACAGACACAACTAAAAGGGGCTGAATGAATGAGAGTCAGAAATCAGCGGGACTTAACAAAACCCCTAAAATCTTCTTTTTTATGTTGACATTCATATTCAATTTTGCTCAGAAAACCATGGGGTGCGAAAGTAGTTCTACCCAGAAGCTGTGGTTTCCCTATTGTAATGACTGTGTTTAGCTGTCAAAGAAGTAAGCACATATTTAGTAATCTATGCCTGCTTGAACACACTCCATTAAATGCTTAATTTTTTTCCGCTGCACTACTTATTTTATCTGTCCTTTCAATCACTTCTGTAAAAAGTGTAATAAAATTACTGGGAATGAATTGTCTGTCAATTTATGGTATATATATATATATATATAGTATGTACTATAAATTACAGAACATTTTTGCCTCACACATACTCTAGAATAAGATTGTTAATTACTGTTCAGTATAAGCCACAATCACATAATCACACAATTAGTATAAATAAAAATAGTAAAGGCTGTCTTTTTTACATGGACCAAACCCTGACGGGAGGGATCGTATTCAAGACGCTTGAACTCAAATGTTTATTTCTTCAGTGAAGCATGTTTAAGGATCAGCTAAAGACAGACAGGGGATCAGAGAGTAGCAGGTGATGGGTGTCGTGTTCCTGAACACAACGTGACAAACGAGATGGTTCCTATTCATCCTCGAGGCACATGAAGCCTCATGTCACGTATTTCAACCTGTTTCATATGAAACACTATTCTCTTCTTATCCCCTTTCTTTTTCTCCTCCACTTTTTCCTTCTCCACCTCCTTGACGGGTTAGCAGATTTTCAAGAATGTAAGCACACCTCTCCAAAAAAAAGTTTGTTTTCTTTTACCTCCTTATGTTAAGTCCTATTACAGTAAATATACAGGGAATTAAAGACAACTGTGCAACATTTGAGGTAATTAACATGCAATCATGTTTTGTGCATCCACATTGTTTGCAGTAAACATTTCTTTTTGCACACATCAGTGAGGGCATGAATGACAATGAACCAAAACTAGAAAGTGTCTGCCATTAGCTGTATTCTGATGTTGTAATGTTTAGGAATGACTCTCAGTCTCTCAGAGGCTGATATAGAAAGTGAATTAGGCCCAATCTATGACAGTGGTAGTGACAGAATTGTAAGTGACTATAGATAAATAAACATCTTTATTAAACTAGTTTTGTGTCACCCATGAACAATAACAAAAGCAACACAGTTCAGACAGCTCACAGGGGACAGCATATGACCACAACAATAGCAACACCAACACACAAACTAACAATATATTATTCCAAATGTCGTTATATATCATTTAAAAATTATATTAATAATAATCAATAATTCACATTAAAATGCATAAAAGAAGACTTTTGTAAAACATTTAAAACAGAACATTAACATTTTTACTCCAGTTCAGTTCCATATCAATATGAACCCCCAGATATGTGTATGATGAAACAATTTCAACCAGATTTTTGATGGGAATTGGTGATGGTCCCCGTCTTTCCTTTCTCCAAAATCAATAACTAGCTCCTTCGTCTAACTAATATTGAGGACATCTGGCTATCCCTACATTGAGCTGTGCAATGGGCGAATAAAAAGGTGATAAAACATCATTTTCACAAGTGATGCTGCTTGGCCTATGAACTCCCTGATTGCTGTATTGCTTGGGGATATGTTTTGTAAATAAAGTGTTTCTTAAATGTGTTTGCCAGCTTTGACTGCAGCTGAGTTGGCCAGAGGGTAATTTTCATTTTCCATTTTCATTTTTACAGACTTGTTCTGTGAGAGGCCTTGTTTGAAGCTTATATCTTCTGAGCCCTCTTATTTCATTATAATGAGCAGCAACAGCCCATCACTGCTGTTCTCATCTTGTTGGTACATCCTTATCTCTACTCTTATTTTGTCATTTTACAAACCAACTCTGAACTACCCCTTCATCATATCTCATGGCAGATGGGTGTGTTGCAAATGCAGACAGGTGTTTCACAGTTTATATCAGTTACTGATGATGAACACAGGCAAGACTTATACCCTATCAATTTAGCGTTAACAAGCTAACTCCAGATTCTAGTTTTCTTCTATTTTTTCTTTTAGTGGTGTACAGAAACCAGATTATCATTGCACATAGGTGTAATTTATGCTGGGGATGCTGGGGATATGTCCCCACCACTTTTTGAAATGGCTTATTTTGTCCCCACCACTTTTTGGAAGCACTTGCTAAAAGTTTTCTGAAAATTACCTTGCAACAAGAAATGTTAAATAACAAAAAAAATTCTATGAGAAAGGTTTACTTGCACAATAGGAAAATATAAAAACAAATCTGCCTTGTCCAAAACAAATCAATCTATTGATTAATGCATTATATTTGATTAATATAAATATTTTATAGCCTTTTCTGAATTGCCACCGGCCACATAAATTTTGTTTCCCTTCATATAAATAAAGACATTTTCACCGTAAGTTGGTGCAGAAAATGTCTCTAGAATGCAAGAAATTAAGAGTTTAATGCTCAAAATATTTTTTTTTATATTTCTTCTAAATTGCATTAGAGTATCTTGTTGCCTCGTTCTCGTGACTTCAATATTGTGCATTATCATGTGTCGTGGACTAAGTGTTTGGTCACACCCCTAATCTGAACCTTTTCAACACAAAGTGACGCCCTTGTGCTTGTACCTTCTGGCATGATTATTGCCGTTATTCTGAACAAAATACAAAACAGAATACTGTACAGAATATTATATTAAATTACTTAAATAAGTAGTGCTCTTAACTACACTTTCTCACACCAATTTATGATGCTAATTTAATTATTGAAAATGAGATCAGTGACAGTTCTTAAGTTCCCGTTTTAGTTGTATGTTCTGTTTTTTTACTGTTTCATAAGAAGTGTATTTAATGATGGGTACAGTCATTTTGCTATTTTGGAACCTTGTTTAATTTCTAAAGCAATATCAGGTTATAAGGTGAGAATTGCAAAGATATGCATTAATCAAAACACATGAAGTGGGGAAAGAGTGTGGGAGATGGTAGAGATTCTAATTTTCTTCTATTAAACCAGATTATCCTTGCACCTACTGGCATTTTTGATTATTCTGAACAAAATATCAAAGATAATGCTGAACGGAATGTTAAATTAAATTAATTAGATAATTAGAATTCTAAACTACACTTTCTCACACCAATTTATGATGCTAATTTCATGAAGAAAATTAGATTAGTGATAGTTCATACATTCACGTGTTACCTGTATATTATTATGTTGTTTTACTGTTTCATTTGCACATATATAAAAAAGTGTATTCAACGATGGGTACAGTCATTTTGCTATTTTGGAACCTCATTTAATTTCTAAAGCAATATCCCAGGTGGGAATTGCAAAGATATGCATTAATCAAAACACATGAAGTAGGGAAAGGGTGTTTGAGATGGTATATTGGCACCAAACCTTGTTTCTATTTGCAAAAAGAAGTCCCCATGTAATGTCACGTCTGGCACCTACAGTACGCAGTGTATTATCTTAATTGCAAAGCAGCTCATCTTAGGAAAAAAACAGAGGGATGGTGCATGAAATGAAATGAACTGGTTCAAATGGGAAAACACATATTTATTTATGTCTTAAATCTGAGATTACAACAAGGAGTGTTGATTAAGCATGAAATCCAAATATTACAGTACATTTGTTTTCTTTTCTTCCAAACAGAAGTGACTGCCATTGCTTTAAAATGTGCTGTAGTATTTAAATGACTCTCTCTATAATTCAAAATAGCTCACCATACATTATATGCCTTCCCTTTTCATATGTCTATTCTGATTTTCTTTTAACATCCACCAAGAAAGAATGTTGCTAAGCACCAATGCAGGGGATCTATAATGTCTACTTTACACTTTATATGGAGCATCTTCCTATGTAAAACCCAGCCTGACTATACTCTGTGTTACAAGACTATTACGGTGCACGGATCCCATGTCACAGAATGTCTGTTATTCTCTACCTCCAGGGGACCTTGAGATGCACAGTGCACGTAATGGAAATTCATGACTCACACATTCAGTTTGTTTGAGGCAAAATTCAAAAATGACTACTTAATTCAACCGATGAGGTAAAAAAAAAATAGACTTAAATAGACATATTTTGTTCAGAACACACCTTGATGCCTTTGTGGTTGGATAGAGATTTCCTCACTATGGAATGACCATGATTGCATGCCATATCTGTCATGCCAAATCCATGTCTGCAAGGGTAAATGCCCACTCGTTCCCCTCACGCAGCATAGTGGGAAGAGTACACACATACATATTAATCACTCTGGTTCTGACAGACTTCTTGCACTCGCTGAGGATTGATCGGCAGCTCCTGCACTGGGACATGTTGCTCCCTTTAGAGGATGATGGAAAGAGTGTGAGTACAGTATGTGTGTGGGGGTGTTTATGTGTGATGTGAGAGAGAAGGAGAGATTAGAAAGAAGACAGTGGTTGATAGC